TACCCTTCCATTCCCGCCCTGCCATTTCCAGGTGACCCTGTCTCTGCCTCTCCAAGAGCGCCTCACCTATGGGCTGGCCCTGGAACATAAAAGTCTGGCCAGATGGTGGCGGTGGCGGTGGCTTCTCCGACGAAGATGGGGCCAGGGACTGCAAGGGGGCTGGAGCTACCTCTGCGTTGCCACCCTGGCCCCCTGAGCCAAAAGTTAGCTTCCGGAGCGCATCCTCCAACTCCGTGAGTTCCTCGTCCCGGAGCCGGTCAGGCTAGGGAGAGGAATGCTGCGTCGGTGGGGGTCTTAGCCACGAATCCCTGCCCCACCTCTGGGCCCAGTCCCGCCGCACCTTCTGGGCAAAGATGCAACTCAAACAACGCTCCTCATCTGCCAGCAAGGCGTCCAGCCGCTCCGCGCCGGCGCGCAGCTCCAGTTGCAAGGGCACCGAGTGCAGGGTGAGGGATGCGGCCAAGCGGCCCTCCAGCGCGGCGCGCAGCGCCCCCTCGCGGTAGGCGCGGAGGAAGCGGCCGCAGGGCTGGCGGCCGCAGAAACGCAGCTGCACAATCAGCTGCGGATCGCTGCGGTGGATCTTGAGCATCTGCAACTCGTCAGGGCTCCCGCTCTCTGCGGAGGCGGCAGTCAGGCGCCAGACGGTCCCCCACCGGACCGTTCTCCAAGCAGTCGGAGGAGGGGTGAAGCCCGCGGTCAGAGCCCCTCCCTAGCCCCCAGACCTAGGAGCGCGGGTTTACCCCAGAGCTCCCAGCCAGAAAACAAAATTGGGATGCCAGAATGAAGGCCGGGACCTATCCCAGGGAGTGGGTACCATCCTAGCCCCATCTCTGGAGCCCCAAATTAAGGTGGGCAAAAGGGATGTGCGGAGAGACTTTGCAGCACGGGGGAGGGGGGGGCAAATGCCCTGGGCAGCCAAGCCATCTGGGTAGGAGGCCAAAGGGGCAGGGAAGGGGTGGGAGGTCTCGGATCTTAGGCCTCCACCAAGTATGGCTCCTGCTGCCCCAGAGTGGGATCCCCAACGAGGCTCAGTCTCCTGTGCCTCTGCCCTGATATGGGAAAGGGGGACCCCGAAGGTAGTTACTGGGAAGGGGTTTGGGGCAAGGAGTGCTGCAGTGAGAGAGGAAAAGAGGAGAGAGATGTGTGCGATTAGTAGAAAGCAGTGATCCGACTGGTTTGGGGAGTGGAGGACGTTAGTGCACACACAGGTAGATCATACATAGACACATAGATTAGATATCTACACCCAAGGGCGCATATGGGTAACAAAGAAGACAGCCTAAGCAACCAGTCCAATCCTTGCCATCAAATCTTTTCTCTACTGGCGGTTAGGCACATGCCCACAGAGTTGAACAGATTGGGGAGGGGGGGTGTCTCAGCCCCTGGCCCCGCCCACCAAAAGCCTCCCCTTTTACACCGTATGACTCAATCACGCACCTGCCAATGCAGCCCGAAGAGCCCTGTACACCGCCACCTTCTGCTGGGGATGAGCGTAAGTGTCTGACAGGACCACCTTGTCCAGCGAGGACTCCACAAACAGGTATGCACTGCCCACCCACTCCTCGAGCCCATTTGGCCCAGCAGCCATCTCGCCTCCTGGAGATGCAGATAGGTATCCAGATCACCCCAAACCCAGCCCTGGGGGCAACCCATCCAGTCCCACAAGGCCCAGTTGTCCCCACCCAGTTGGCATACTTGTTCATCATCTCACAGGCAGCCCCTTGTGTGTCTGGCTCTACAGAGTCCAGCCCAGCTCAGCCCAAACTTGCAGTGAGGACTGTCCCTCCCTCCACTGCCTTCTCAGAAGAAGAGCCCGTGGTCACAGTAGCAAGAGGGGGAAGGTACTATCCTGCAGTGGAGGCAGAGAAGTTATGCCTTTTCCTCAGACCAATTGTCTCTCTTACCAAAGCTGACCGGAGACATCATCCTGGAGGTGCCCATACCACAGCCAACAGGACCCATGTCCTGGTATGCCCTGAGCTTAAACTTGAGCTCCCAGGATCCCTTAGGACCACAACCCCCCTCTCCCACCACAGCAGTGTTCTCACCTGCATTCCTAACTACACATTCTGACTTCACTTCAAAGGATACCTATAGTTTGTGCCTGCCCAGATTCCCTTCCCCAATCCTGATGGACGTTGGGGGCCTTCCCTCCTCCCTTTAATCCATGTGCCTGTTGGGAGGGCTGACCCCACTCCCTAGCTCCAGGTGTGGGCATGTGAAACAGGCCTGGCCAACCTGCATATTCCATTCACCTTTCTAAAATGATTAGTTCAGAGTTGGGCAGATTCAAGACAGACCAAGCAACCTGCAACTTTGGCTGGACCAACAGGAAAGAGTCACTAGTTTCTCTTCCCTTGGGGCTGAGCTGAAGGAAGGGGAGGTCTCCCTCCTTTGTCACTGCTTGGGAAGAGCCTGAATGAAAATGAAACTGACACAAAGGAAACAGAGCCCAGAGATGAGGAGGTGCACTCCCAACCACACACTATGCCCCTGGCTCCAGCTGCACCCTGGACTTCTCGGTTATGTGAACTAAATCATTCCTTTTTGGTCCAAAGTACTTGGAGCTGGGCTCTTGTCTTATGCAACTGAAATTGTTCTATTACAGATTCCTTCCCTGTTCAGAGAGAGCCAGGGCCCCGCGGTTCTGGCATCTCCTCCATCTACTGACAAAATCCTAGCCCTAGACCAGGGGCAAAATTCCCAACCAGGGAACCACACTGCACTGACCTTCAGTTCAGTGGCCTCCTAGTCACAGTGCCAAGAGGCCTGCTCCTTCCTCCTCACCTCACCTGAGGCAACATCCCACCCTTATCTATCCTATAAACATGGGCTCAAGACCCCACCTCCTGCCCCATCAGCCTTCTTTACTCTCTGGTCTTTGGCATTTACATATGGTGGGTAGGAGCGTGCTGAGCCCCAGTGTGAGCACCCTGGACTGATTCATTGCTCTGGGCAGTACAGATGGGGTGGTCTCAGCTGGCATCTATTTACATGAGGGACAGGGAACCTCGGAGGAGGGATGCCAGAAGGAGCCAGGACCATAGACTTGAATAGTGTTGGGGCGGCTGTTTCAGATCTGCCCCAGACCTTAACCTGAGAGCCAAAGCCTGGACAGTAACTGGGCAGGGGCCATGCAGCATCACCCAGACCTGGCAAGAAAAATACCTGGTGATGGTCCTATCCTGAGTCTGAGCCCAGCGATATGGCTTTTGAGCCCCCCACCCCCACACCAATAACCTTTTGGTAGAAAACATAGTAATACTTGTGTGTTTACCCAAAACAATGCTCTATGGGAATGGAGGAGATTTGCGGGGGGGGGGGGGG